TTCCAACCCTCGACAACACGTTTTTTCACATCTTGTATTTTTCCGTTAACCTTCCACCCACCCCCGATGTTTTTTATTTTTTATTTTTTTTATTTTTTATTTCTGTCCCCCTTTTCCATCCGTTTTAAGCATGCTACTAGATTACGACACCCTTTTCACATCTCCACTTACCTACTTACTTACTGCCTTGTTTTTTCCGCTGGAGCACTGTCACGCGGGTGCATCTGTTATTGGGAATGGGCGTTTTTGCATTCTTCAATCTGGGTTACTTTGTGTTTTCTTTTCTTTTCTTTTCTTTTCTTTTTTTTTTCTTTCTTTATTTCTTTTTTGCCCTCTTTGTCTACCTAGGTTTGCATTTTTGTTTTCTGTTACATATCATACATACCTGTGGAAATCGAACACTCAGATCAAGATCAATCACACACACACACACACACACACAAAATTCAAAATCATACAAGAGCTTCCTCTTTACTGGATATATTTACACCTGTACACTTCATTGAAGGAAAGAAAAGATAGAATGAACAAATGAACAAATCAATTCTTCCAATTTTTTACATGCCAAAGAAAGAAATAATACATGAGAGATAAGTGAAAATATGTTCCTTCCATCCTCTTCCCCCACCCCGTGTATTGTCTATATCATTCCCGCAAAAGAAAAGAAAAGAAAGAATGAAAGAAAGATAGGGAAACAAGGCATATATCTGGTTTGTGGAGGGGGGGTTTTATTGAGGGGGCTACCGCTGGTGCCACTGCTGCTGCCACCGCTGGTTGGCCGTCGGTCGGAGTTAAGTATTGTTTTGATTTATTGATTTATTGATTTTATTGATTTTTTTTTTTTTTTTTTTCTCTCTCTGTAAGTGATCCTTTACATGGTTATCCATCTAGATATATCTATCATATCGTACTTCTATTTTCTATCTATCTACTAAGGTAGTTAGTACCTACCCACCTACCAAATTAATCCATTTAATACAAAAAACAAAATGGCTACGGAACTGGATACTTTGTTATTTTTTCCAGGTTGTTGATTCAGATTAAAACCCCATT